AATTTCTAAAAATTAAAAAATTACTCCAAAGATGAAACTGGTAAGAAAGACAGTAACTTTTGAATTTATCTCAAAGCTCCTATGATTGAGAAAAGGAATATCAAGAGATTAAAAGTGGTTTCAGGCTTCACGCCAGGGTTTTTCATATGCAGAGAGCAGAATGCACCCTGAAAGCTGACTAGGGTTGAATAGGTTCCTAAACAAAGACTGGGTTCCTAGTTGCCAGCCTACACCGATATTCTATTAATAGAAAGACATCAAGATCCAAACAACGAGGCCAGAGGGCTCGTCATGGAGTGGGACCTCACCGATGAGGGTGACAGGCATGCCGTACTCCAGGGCTGAGATGGCCGTCCACTTCCCGGTGCCCTTCTGCCCTGCGCTGTCCCTGATCTTTGGCAGCAGGTGTGCGCCGTCGCTGTCTCGGAACTTGAGAATATTGGCTGTGATTTCAATCAGGAACGAGTCTAGCTCTGTCTTATTCCATTCCTCAAATGCCTACGTACAGGATGTGAGAGAAACAAGGATTAGACAGGAAAATCTCCCTGAACCCGCCCATTCTTTGCCTCTGTAGACACTGCCCGGTGCTCAGATTGTGCTCAGCACCCCAGGCCAGCAGGCTCTCCTCTACTGGTACTCCCTGCCAGGTACGTCTCTGCTCCACCAGCTGAGTGTTACACTGATCAAGGGTCGCGCGTGTTTCATTTTAACCCGACTATGCTGACCTTGACCTTCTGATGCCACAACTGTTCTTGAGCAAGGACTTCTCACCTCACTCAGGTATCTGTCTGCCCTGACACCTCCTCAGAGGCCTTCCTTGATCACCCGGCCTAAATCTACCTCTTCCATACCATGTCCTTTTCTGTATGATAGCGGGCACTGACTAGCTTCATATTATGCATTTAACTATTACTGTCTGTCTTCCCGGCTCCAAGGGCAGGGACTATTTTTACCATTTTATCTCCAACATTTAGGACAGAGGGATGGCCAGGTATTTGATTAAAGCAAGTGTAGCAACGTGTTAATGGTAGAATCTAGGTAGTGTGTATAGGCATGCTCACTGTCCAATTCTTTCAACCTCGCTGTATGTCTGAACATTTTCATAATAAAATGTCAAGAAATGCTAACTGCCCAAAGCCAGTCTCAGTGTGATCAGAAAAGAAAGCATCTAGGGCCCTTTCCACATGGGACAATGGGAGGGTCAGAGGACACAATGTACGCCGAGTGACACAGTGCCTGACACACAGCAGGGGTCACTAAATGACCACCACGATGCTTTGGGAACTTCAGGCTTGGTGACCAGCTATCATACTTGACAGTCCTATTACTGACAGCTTCCCTTAAACCTGGCTGAGCCCCACCAGATCACCAGAGTGAACAAAGGAGAAAGAATAAGGAAGGATGTGCTGGCACCAGCAGCCCCTTCCATGTGGGCAGGGAGTCCTCGCTGCAGGGAGGCAGGGCCTGCCACTCACCTGTGCCATCTCGTCGTGCTCCATGCCCAGAATGTCTTTCATCAGGTGGTAGGCCTCGCAGATGAGCTGCATGTCCCCATACTCTATCCCATTGTGCACCATCTTCACGAAGTGGCCTGCTCCCTCTTCTCCCACCTGTCAGTGACNAGTTAGAACTGCTGTACAGGAAAAAAGTGACGTGACCACCTAAACCTGTCTCGTTGCCCGTGAGAGGACTACATGCACCAGTTCCGAGGAAACCGGTCACACAGTGCCCCAAGCCCTGTTCTCCGGCACAGGCGCGTGCCATGTCCTTCCCATCACTCACCTTCGGATGATGCAGCCCCCCCTCCACATCAAGGCAATGCCACCATAGTTGAGGGTCCAGCCAAATTCAGTGGCTGCCTGCTTCAGCAGCATAAAGCCTTGAGCGTACGAGATGATCTTGGAAGCATAGAGGGCCTGAAGAATGACATGAAGCATTTAATCAGAGTTTGCAGTTGGCAAAGTGACCACCTGGTGCTTACCAGCCGCACCCCCAAGCCGTGCAGGTCCCAGAGAGGGCAGCGGTGTGGGAGACGGCTGCAGGGCAGACCCAGGAAAGCTGGACTGGATTCCACCCACTCTGTGGCCTCACTATGCTCTCCTGCAACAGCCCCCACCCCGCTGCCTTCCACGGGACAAACACAGGCTGCAGCCAGGGACAGGGTCCCACCTTTCGAATGTCCTCCAGGAATGACTTCTTATCACCTTTGAACTGGATCTTCTGAGGACCCTTGAGCTTTTTGCTAGCTTGAATCCTCTCGTCCTTCAGCGATGATAAGCAGCGGGCAAAGACTGCTTCTCCTATGTGGGGGAGAGCAGCGCAGGAGGTGATGTGTGCCGAAGTCCACACACGAAACCAGCGGAAAAGGAGGACACACAAGCCGGAGAGGGTGAGGAAAAAGACAAATGGAGCAAGATTTTCAATGCTACAAAGAGATGAAAGTCTCGGCCACAGGCCACAAAACGTAACCTGGATCAGAAAGAACTCTTATGAAAATCTCTAAACAGTTAACTTGATAACTAAAAGTCCATGTCAATCTTGCAACATTAATACAAGTGTTCAACCACAAAGATCAATATGAAATTCAAAGGGGAGTTTTGAGGGAAAACCAAAGTGGTAAAATGACTACTATTCAGAATCACTCAGTGTTTGTTGGTCCATGAGTAAAATTTCAGTTTCAGTGGAGAAGACTTGAATTTATAAATGTTCACCAAGGACTTAA